CCTGGCACAACTTGAGGCCATTTCCTCTTGTCCCATCGCTTGTTCCTGGGGAGAAGAGACCGACCCCTCCTCGCTACCCCCTCCTTTCAGGAGCTGCAGAGGGGATAAGGTCTCCCCTCACCTCCTCTTCTCCACTTGAACCCCCCAGCTCCCTCAGCCGCTCCCCATCATTCGGGTGCTCCAGACCCCTCCCCAGCTCCCTTGCCCTTCTCTGGCCACGCTCCAGCCCCTCAATGTCCTTCTGGGAGTGAGGGGCCCGAAACTGACCCCAGGATTCGAGGGGCAGCCTCAGCAGTGCCCAGCACAGGGGAAGGATCCTGCCCTGCTCCTGCTGCCCACACCAGTGCTGCTGCAGGTGAAGCAACTGTGCAAGATGAGGCATTTTCCTTCTTGTCGCCTGCTGATTTTTTATGCTGTTCCAACCTTCTTCAGAAAGCCAAGGATATTTTGAGTTCAATAGGAAAACTCAAGGCCAATAAAGAAATAGGAAATATTTAAATTCTTTTGAAATCCTCAGATAGCCCTGTATAAGGGAAATCCAGCACCTCAGGAAGCTTTGGCAGTGTCATGCAGGCAGCCATGGACTCAGAAATGATATTCCTTTGGCTGCCTTAGGAAAGCAGAACCCCCAGCTGTGAGGATCATCGAACAGTGAGGATGGAGCTCTGTGTGCTCTGTAAAATATATATATGCACATATATTACAGCATGCAGCTCGAGGAGATATGGATTGCAATTGTGCAGTTCAGCAAGCATGCCTTGCTATTCATTTTGGAAACACCCTAAAAGCTCAAATAAACTAGGACTCCTAAAATAAAACAGGAGCTCCTGGTTCTTTACCAGCCTGTTACACTTTAGCTTCCCCTCTTCTCCTTGTTAAGGCATTTTCCCACAGCGAGGGCACTGTCAACAGTTTCAAGAGACTGGACCAGAACAGGTCCAGCCCAGGGCTCCTTCCAGATTTCGCTCCAGGGGTTTACCCAAAATGCAGCAAACGCACGACTGTCCCAGTGCACCCACAGCACCCGACACCGACGGCTGCTCCTGCGCCCTTCCTGGCACCGCTGCTATTAATGCCCAAATTGTGCCACCTTCTCCGGGTCAAAACCTCGGGATTCTTCAGTCTCGTGTGATTTGTCACCTCCACGTTGCCCGTAAAGGGCAGCAGGGTTAACAGATTTCCACCTGGCAGCCTATTTCCATCACCGGCGTGTGCAGGTCTGGAAAGTGCAGATGAGGACCTGGATCGCTCCAGGAAGCTCCTCAGGGCTGGCTCAGCCTCAGTTCAGCAAACAAGAAAGGCTGGGATGGCACAGTGAGTGTAAGAAACCTTGCAAAGCACTGTAGAAGTCACTACTGAAGTCAGTGCTAAATCAGCACCAAACCTTATTTTGGATTTTGGAGGCTTTACCCACTCAGTGCTAAATGTCCAAAAGAAGAAAGAATTAAGGAAATGCATTACAGGACGGTAAGCATGAAAGTTAACCTGGCTATGGTGGTGTTAAGCAAAGCTGTAATGCAGGCTTCCTAAGATGATATAACACAGAAAAATACGAGAAGAATACACACGATACAACCCATCCATTAGAGAAAAAACCAAACCAACAGCTCTATCACAAGCAAAGACAGATCAATCCCCTGCACAGGAACAGAGGTCACCATCGCTTCACACGCAAGCACAATTTGTCAGGTGCTGAGGTAGCCTCGTGCTCATCACCTTCCACTTGGTTTCAACTTAATGTAAATAATTCTGTTCACAGATACAGGTAAGGAAGGAAATTTCAAGTTCAGAGTGTCCTGGGAACAGTAAGGTATTAGGGATTCACTGGTGAAGTCTTTGCCAAAAGCTCCTAAAAACTTCATTCAATTCTGAGAAACGATCCAGTTATCACTCCAGAACTTACTTAAAAACTTACTTAAAACGCCTAAAGTCTCTCAGATCTTGCAGTCAATCAGTCTTCTAAGAAAATCTGCTACCATGTGTTTCAACTGCGCTTCAACCTCACTCCCCATTTCACAGAATCACAGAATCCCAGACCGTTAGGGATTGGAAGGGCCCTCCAAAGCTCATCCAGTCCAATCCCCCTGCCGGAGCAGGAACACCCAGATGAGGTTACACAGGAAGGCGTCCAGGCGGGTTTTGAATGTTTCCAGAGAAGGAGACTCCACAACCTCTCTGGGCAGCCTGGGCCAGGGCTCTGTCACCCTCACTGAGAAGAAGTTTCTTCTCCAATTGAAGTGGAATTTCCATGAGATCAGTCGCTGGGTGCCGTAACCGTGAAAGAAACCGCAAAATCCAACACATGCAACCAAGAGCCAGACCTGCTTGGGCTCACAGACCAGGAAACGGGCTCTGAGAGATGAGGTGAAGTGGAGCAGGGGATAAATCAGGTAAAAACGCTGGTTTACATCCCTGTCAGGAGCAAAGTGATAAGCAATTGTATCACAACCAAGCAGTGGCTGAATTTAAGCGTCGAATGACAGCGTTGGCAGGAACAGAACAGGATCCACTTTCCTGAAGGCATCTTCACAAAGCTGGAGATGCAGTTTTATTAATTTCATGTGAAAATAAATCAGCATAAAATAGGCCACCATGAAATACTCTGGTCAAGTAATTTTTCAAAGTGATGTCCACACGCAGCGTTAATTTGAGAGCAGTGAATAAATGGTGCTTTCCTACTCATGAACCGCGGAGTTGTGCCTTTGCAAACAAACTCAACGGGGCAATAGTCAAGGGTGTGAGCACCCCTGTCACTCCCGTGCTGGCAAAATGAGGAAGTCTTTGATCTTAATCAGTCTTAATCTAATCATTTGATGCTAATTCACGTAATATTCATCTCTAAGGTTTAACCTCAATCTGTGCAGCTCTCTACAGCACGCAAACATCACCAGCATTTCTTTGCAGCAGATCAGCTCACGCACTCTAAACCCGCTGTTAAATCAGCTGAAGCATTTCAACATGGCTTAAGGTAAAAAAAAACCCATTCAAATGAGCACACGCAGTCAACGGAACCATCCTAAATCCAGGAAACAGACGTAGTAGTACAGGCTTCAAGAAACTTAGGGTTTTGTGCCTTCTGGGAATGAAATGGTCAGAGATGACTGAAACCACAGGTAGTGAAACCACGCAAATCCTCAGCGCTTCACCTCGCAGCACCAGGGGATCCCAGAGACGGCACCTGTGAGTGCACTGTGAAAAACCCTGACATGTCATCACGCAGTCACTGCGTTGTAACGAGCAGTCCCAAAGAAACAGTAACATGTTCATCATCTTTTTTGTTAATATAAACATATTTTCTCATTTGGGGCGTTTACTTGGCCCTTGGTGGTCCATTGCCTTTTTATGGTTATGTAAAGTCCCTACATTTTTAATTTATCTATCTTATTAGTGCAAATCTGTTCACAAAAGCCATTCTGAGCCTCATCACGATCTCTATTATTATTTTACAGTCATACCTTTACAAGCCAACACTTTGCACTTGTTATAAATGAGAAATGCTATTCTGTATGATCACAGAATGTGTAAGATTTTAAGCATACAGGCACTATAAGATACATATAAGATATAAGCATACAGGCAATATTGCAGTGAAACAACCAAAACCCTGTCTGGTTCTGAACCCTGCATCACCCAGTTCACCACACAGCCACTGGTCCACACAGTGAATTCACTCCTCATCTTTGTCAGCCAACGACTGACTCACGACTTGAACTCCAAGTGTTTTCTGGCATTTCTTTAAACAGCGTCAACACTAATTTTTAGAGATTGTTGCCCAGAATATTTCTGCTGCTTAACCATTGGTAAGAAGGAAATATGCATAGAGGAGGACAACAAAAATGGGTCCAAAAAACAGATGGAGCATAAAAGGAAAATAGGGAGGTGAAGGTTTTACCTCGCTGTCTGGGCTGGGCTGGACGACTTCCCAGGTCTGGGAGTCCACGTCGTAGCAGTGGAGCTCGTTGGGCAGCGTGTTGTCCGCGGCACCGCCGAACACGTAGAGGTGTCGGTCGAACGCAACCATGGTGTGGCCGTACCTTCGCTGCGGAGGAGGAGGGGAGCCGCGAAGCAAGTGCTCGGTGGGAATTCGTGTCCAGCTGAGGCATTAAATGTGAAACAGGGTATGTGTTTACAGGTCTTTACTGCACAGGAAGTTTGCTGACTCTTGGATTGTAAGAATAAAGCAGAGGAGCTCTACTGCAGTAGTTATTGAACCTGCACGAGCACAGACAACCTCTAATCCTGCAGATTTCTCCTTGTCAGCTCTGTGTCACTAAAATTCAAACTGAAAACGTGACAAAGGCAACATGGCTCCATAATCCAGATGTATTTGTGGAAACCCCAGCAGCTCAAAGACCTGGGAAGGAACTGGTGATCTATTATGGTGTGTTTTACAGCTCACGCTTCTCAGTAAATGGCAACATCTGACCCCGAACCCCAGTTTGATGAGGGATCCTCATCCTCTATGGTACCATGACCTCGGCTGCTGGTTCAGTGGTGGTTCCACCTCAGCTGGTAACCACAGACCAGGCTGTCAGAGCAGACCAGAGCATCTTTAGTTCCAATTTTTGGCATTTCTCTTATTTTCAGAGCAGTGGACGACACCCTGAGCAAGTCACATCAACCACCTCACACTGAACACTCAAGATTTTAAAAGCTACCATGCATTTTACATTTCCCAAAGATTTCAGTATGAACAGGTATTTCACAGCACCTCTGTCTGGTTTTATCAGATATTCATATAACAGCTTTTAGGAAGGTAATATATCATATCCCATTCTGAATACACTAAGATTCATGCTCATCTTTTAAAGTGAATCTACTAAATTTTATATTCGCCTGCTGAAAAAGACCTAGCTGATGGCAAACAACAAAGTCTTCTTATAACAGCCCATGTTTTATGTTATATACCCTGCCTAGCTGTGAGATGCAGTATTCTTCCTCAGCACCCTTAAGTACGTTCATTTCTCAACTCAAGCAGTCAAGGATTACGCGGATTTTGCACGACTTAACTGTCTACACTTACATCTTCTCCTTGAATTCAAACTGAAAGAGATTATTGGTAATCTTCGCTCCGCTCTGGCCAGAGAAAACAAACATCTTGTCTTTGCACACAGCCACAGGGAAATTGCAGCACGAAGGAGGGATCTCACCGCTCTGTTCAATCTGAAAGGTAACAGAGTTCAAGATTTAAAATGTATTGAAGTGTAGGTGCACAGGTACCCGTGTGGACTGCACGCAGACGGACACCTGGCAGCACGGGGTGCAGACAACCAGCCCTGTAAATCTGCAGGTAATCGACTAATGCGGCGCTTACACGTCTGCACAGAGCGATCTCACCACGGATAAAAGGGACGGGAGGTCACATCTCTAAAGCCCCGATTCTGTGAGGATCAGGACTGTGAGCGTGGTAGACAGCCAGCAAAGCTCCCGGTCCATGGCATTGGTTAAAGTGGGAAACACAGTCCCAAAAATGCAGCTTGAGAGATTTTATAGCAAAGCACCACAGGTGGTCTAGGTTTGGTTCACAAGCAAAAATCACAATGTCATAAATGCCTGGTTTTCCAAATACACAGCTGTTTCTTTCCAGCTGTACGACAAATACATCCTGAAGGGAGAGCAGTGTAATCCAGCAAAGGACATTTTAAATGCTTGTGTATGAAAACCAAAAAAGAAAATTCTGTGTGTGAGTTCAAATTAAAGCTTCTTACCTCTTCCCAGCACGTCAGCTCTCTGTCCTGCAGGCCAATTGTCCACATGTCATTTAACCTACATCACAACACAGAAAATGCTTGATTTGTAACAGTTTATTTTTGGCAATTTTTAGCTCATGGAGTTGAAAGCACAGAGATCCCATTCTATCATCATTCCCTCTGCACACAAAGAACCTCCTGCTCCTAACAGAAAAGAACATGATAATCTTTTTGTCCTACACCTAAACTTTACACGACCACCTAAGAATGCTTTAGCATCTTGCAGGTTATAAATACACTGCGGTTAACAGTTACACACAGTAACTCTGCCTGCAGCTTAAGGATTTGAGCTGTTTAATCTTCAGGATTTTCACAGAAATACCTCTCATTATCCTGCCTCCTCCTTCCCATCCCCGCTAACCCCTGACTGACCACCGTAATTACACATCACTGACTGCTACGCATCTGACTACGCTTTTCCCAGTACAAGTTACTCGCAGACAACTCCAGATGCTTCCTTTGTTCACATTTGCCTGGAGGCTCACGTTCCAGAAAGACATTTTGTAACACGATTAGATGTATTTAACATAAATTAGACAGCTCCTCTCTCCCAATCCAATCCCTCCTTCTGGCTCCCCACGGTCCCTGGGGAACTCTCATAGTTGGAACTGAGCAATTCCACAGTCACGCGTCTTCCTCCAGCGCCTCCTCCAGAAATAAAGCACAGCTCCCATCAGTTTGGCAGTTAACAGCCCTTATCCCGGAGCTGGTAACTTCTCCTCTCAGAAGAGGAGGCCGCCCAGCACGCTGAGGCAGCTCCTAGTTTGGGACCATCTCTGTATGCTCTCATGATGCAAATATTACGGATCATCATAAAATACCTCTCGAGCTCATCAGAACAGAAACAATTTCATGTTCAGAATGGATTCTTCCCTGATAGCAAACGTGAAGAGCTGCCACCTGGGACAAGGCACCAGATCCTCCTTAACTTCTCGGTACCGCTTATTTTGTCTGTTTTCCCATCTAAAAATCTCACCTCCCATTCAATCTAAACAATCCTAGTGTTTCACTGCAATATCCCACCAAGAGCATCACAGATTTTCAGAGAAAAAGCTGACACGTTCTTAGCTTGGTCGCATGATTTCAGAGCAAATCCACGCTTTGTTCTGCGAGTCTCCAGCGACATCCGAAGTCTGTGGTGGGGATCTTCTGAGAAAGGCTCATTTGCCAAATTTCAAAGGTCATTCAGCTTCTTTACAACCACGGCGGCCGTCAAATTACACATCCACAGCCCCTCTGAGTCACCAGATTTTTAGGTTTTAAGCACGTACTTATTTGAACACGAACTGGTGAGCTGCAAAAACGCAACGCTCAACGACAGGCTGGGTTTTGCAGAGCTCCAGTTACGTTTCAATTGCTCAGTGTATGGAAACGTCTCTAGGGAGGCGAAAAGCGAGGGGCTGGGATTGAACAAAAGCACCACGAACCGTGCGTTGCCGTCATAGCCTGCGAAGATCCACAGCTTGTCGCAGTACACCGTCGCGCCGTGAGCTGACCTCGCGACCGGCAACCTGCCACCGGGAAAATTGGGAAAAAGAATCTTAAATCACCCGCAGAGGTGACCTCCTGTCAGAAGCATCTGCACAACAGTAAAGTGCACGTCTAAGAATGAAGTT